GCGGTCTCAGGGCGGCTCGGCTCGGGGGTGGCTCGGCTCGGGGGTGGCGGCGCACTGCGTATTAAAAAAATGAATGCGGGGTGAGGGTTTTTTTAATGCAAGACGTTCTCCCTGGGGTGAAGTCCCGAACCCCCATCCCTTGCCCGCTGGGGAGCGAGCGCGCGCCGCCGCGCCGCCGGCGAGGGCAGGGTTGCGCTGCCGTCACCCACCAAAACGAAAAGAGAGGAAAAAAATATCTGCAGACAAAACACTTTCCGGGACTTTTTCGTTCAGAGGGAGAGAAATTAAACGCATGATAACTTCGTGTTCCTTTTGGAATTCGGATGCGGATCGAGCGCCTCCAGCGGGAAACACTCGACTGAGTTTCCCTCTTATCGCTTTCGGGGAGAGGAGAACATTTCGCACCGTCACGAAAACTATTCCCAACAAAAAGTTTGCTAACGCTGAATGCGTCCCCACATTATTTGTTTACCCGCGAGCGCTTTTTACTTGCTCCCCTCCGCCTCACCAAATTTACTTCCCACTCTCGCAGCACCTGCGCCGGGCGCCGCGACGCCGCGCAGCCGTAACTGCCGCCTTGGCGCCGCTCTTCCCGCGACGCGGTGCGGCGTAGCGTGCAGCGGGGTGTCAATGCACATCAGGGGTGCCGCGACGTCTCCCCCCTCCCGCATGCTTCAAACTAAAAGCCGCACCCTCGTTTTTAACCCCGCGAGGGGGTGGCGCGCCGCGGCACTGTGTGGGTCGCGAGGGTGCGGCGCCGCGGTGCAGGCCGCGCTGTTTTCCGAGGCGCTCCACCCGACCTTTTTTATTCCGTCCGTTCTCTCTTTTCGCCCGCGGAGTTTTGTCCGGGTAGGAAGGAGCAGGCGCGCTGCCTCTCAAAGATGTAATTTCGCTTTGACATTGCTCTGGTTCTTCGGCCGGTCGAGCATGCAGGCAGCAAGCAAGCCGGCCAGGCCGGCGTGAATAAGGGCAGCAGTACACCGCAGAGCCTGTTAGTGGACATGCCTAGTTAGCTGATGGCCGAGGCCAGGCTGGGGCCAGACTGGGGGCGGCTCTAGGCTCTAGGGGCGCAGGGGGTGGGTGGACCAAAGGGTTACACAGCCAAACGGACGCCTTGGCATCGCATCAGCTTTACCCCAAATAATCCAATTCCTTCATCACACGCCGTGTGCGGAGTGAGTGACCGCGCAGGGCTGTGGGAAAGACGGGGCGGGGGATGGGGGGGGGGGGGATTTCATAGTTAGGCTGGATTAAGAAACCCTACAGCGGTGTCCCGTGTCTGGCAGCGCGTCCGGCGCCGAGTTCCGTCACCGAAAAAACAACGACAGAAAGTAAAACTTATCCGTCTGGGCTCGGGGAGGGGAGGGGCTGCTAAGGTGGCGGCCGGCAAATGGGTCATTGGCAGAAGCTCTAGAGTTCGGCCCGCGCGACGTCGCCGCCACGACGTGATTTTAGCCTCAGCGCGTGTCGCCGCAAACGGGCGGCGGCGCGCCGAGTCTAGTCCGCACCGGATCGGCTCGAGTCGGGTTCTCCGCATATTTAGCCGGACTTGGGCCGTTTTGTGGGCCATTCCGTTTTACGATACGGATCTCGGACTACGAACAGTGACATCCATTCCAGCTGTCGATAATTCAAGCCCGTGCGTGGGAGTTCACACCTGGTGCGCCGTGTTTGCTCTGGCCGATGTCACTCCCAGTCACCCTCTGGCTTGGGCCTATGGGACGCGTTGGACGCGTTCGCCGTGCGGCAGCTAGAGGCGCCGAGGCACGCCGAGCACCGAGCCGAGCACGCCATGCCGATCTGAGTTCTGAGGCCCGATGGCCGATGGCCCACCATGGACCGCGGCCCACGCACTCGCTCGCTAATAAGGCCGTAATAAATAACTTGGGCCCCGAGTGTTGGCCGAGCCCGATTCGTGGCGTTGGCGCAGCGTTTAAATTAGGCCGCGCGGCAACACGCTCAAAACCTTACGAATTACTTTAAGCATATTATTATATTTTGCTATATACTCAAAATGCTTCTGTGGGACACGCTACTTTTCTTAGTGAGGTCTGAAATAGTTTAAAGGTTTTAAGAGAGGACTACTTTTCGGGCTACCTTGGTAGTTGGTCCCCGACCCGTGCCAACGTAGATCTAAAAGGACAGTCAAAATTACGTCCAAATCCTGCAACAAGAATTACAGCAAGGTTTGACTTAATTTGCGACGTGGCCGCATAGGGAGCGTAACTGTGCACCGCAATGGATATTTTTGTGGATGGGCTTTGGCCTGGGCTTTGGCCTGGGCTCGGCCCGGGCCGTGCTGCGCGCTCCCTCACAGCGCCTCTCCCCTCCTTTCTCCCTCTCATCAGAGGCGAGAACGGATTAAGTGTTATTCACGGTGGTGGCCGGAAACTCCCTATTATACAAGTGTGACTGCCTGGCCGCCTCCTGCCGGTCATTGTCGCCTTGTTGCTGCTTTAGTTGTTGTTTTTCGTGCCGGATAATAAGTGGATCAAGTTCATTTTTGTCTCTGAGCGTGTGGCGTCGCCGCGCGTCGCCGCGTCTCGGTGGCGAGGATTGACACCCCTCCCTCCCCCCTCCCCGCGGGGCTCAACACCCTCGTTTCCTGCTCAGGGAAGCCCCAGCAATTAAAAGACCCTGATTTATCGCGTCAATTTTGAGAAAAATTTGTCCGTCGAAGGTCGAGCGGCGGGCAGGGTCGGGCGGGCAGGGCCGAGCGGGCAGGACGCGGCCTCTGCGGACGTCGCCAAGTCGCGGCCAAGTCGCTCCGTAAATTAAAATAAAGTGACACTTCCGCGACGCGGCCGTGCAGCAAGCCCCTCATTGTTAACGAGTGTTACAGCGCTAGCGCGCTAGGCCCGACCCGGCCTAGAAATCCGTTTGGTCATGATAGAATAATTGTGCTGAGGCCCACGAGAAGCCCGTTAGGGGCACACACACAGCCGCACAGTCACACACACACTCACGCTCACACTGATTAGTACGAATGAGAGCCGCGCTGGCCAGAGCGCTGTGACGTCCGTCCGACGCAAAGTGAATCGCCTCATCAAGACGAATACAAGCGGAAACAAAGCCACCTTTTCCTCCCCGTCTGCCGATGTGCCCAATGTGGAGCAAGCGGCCTTCCTTTTGGGGGCGCATTGTCTTTTCGTCTAGCCGCGCTAGCCGTGATGGGTGCCTGTCGGCCCGTCGGTGATACCCGTTTCCCGACCAGTTCCAGGTGTTGATTTTTGGCTCAGATTAAACCAGCTCGCGGCCGGGCTACGCCGGGCCGTGCCGGGCTAGGCCGCGCGGCGTGCCCAGTCCTCGAGGCTGACGGCCAAATCGTTGATGATGTCTTATGGCGTTGGCGAGTTGGCGAGCGGACGGACACATGCGCGGCCGGGAGGATGTTCTAATTATCTAATCTACTTAAGGGAGGACATAAATAGCTCGGCACTCTCCGCCCCAGAAGGCCGGCCCGGCCGCGGACCGCGACTTTTTGATCGGGAGATGGATAAGTGTGTTTGATCGCATGATTTGCTGTCTATTTATCTATGCCCGGATAGACAAATAGACGCAGCGCGGCGCCCCGCTGCGGCACGGATCGTGTTCGCCCGGCCCGCTTGACCCGCCATAATTAGACTGACTCATCACGGACTACACAGCCAGGGCACAGCCAGGGCACAGCCAGGGCACTGGCAGGGCAAGGCAACCCCTCCCCCGCCGGAAAAGAACCAACAATCATAACTTGAGACGCTGGAAGTCGTTGCGAGGATTACTCATTAGCGGGTCCACTCGGCAGTCCGGCAGCGCCTTTGTGTGTTCAAAGATCGCGGCGCCAATCACGGCGGCCTTAATCCGCCAAGTCCTCTTCCATTTGCCTAGCGCCTCTGCCGCAGCCGCGAAGCCGCGCTGGCCGCGCTCTAGTGTACGGAAACATAAACCACCGCTCACGCCGCTCACGCCCCGCCACTCACGCCAGCGCGCCAGCGTCCGAAAGATTTGCCTTTATTGTCTGCGGCGGGCTCACACCTATCATTGTTTTCAACACATTACCCCCGCCACCTCGCTCGTTTTTTCGACAGTTGTTTCGCCACCTGCGGGCGAGCGGGGCGGGCGGGGCGCGCGGGGCGGCCGAGCGAAGGGCGGTGGCTGACAAGACGCGGCGTGACGTCACGTCCGGTCATTTGTATCTCGTTTAGGCCGTCACGGTAACGCGCCGGCCGCGTCACATACAAATTAGACCTATTTAGCTTCCCGACCGGCTCATCCACGGCGTACACCGCCCCTCCCCGCTCTGATTTCCTCCGCCCGATACAGTTTCGCCGGCCAGGCGGATGGCGGGGCGGTACGGCGGGGCGGTGCGGCCACGGCCCCGCGACAGTTATGAAACATCGACCGAAATTAAGACGAATGGCCCTTTCAGCGGGCGTCTGGGCTGCAGGCGTCCGTCCGAGGGCCGGGTGGCCCGCCCGGCAGCACGGCATCACCTGCAGTTCGAACTTGGGAGAGCGCTCCCTGCCACGTGGGCCGTGTCGGACTAATTTGTCTGCCGGCCCTTGCCAAGGCGCGAGGACAGGGCGGGGCGGGGCGGGGCGGGGCGAGGCGGGGTGGGGCGGGGCGGGGCGAGGCGGGGCGAGGCGGGGCGAGGGGCGTCGCAGCACGGGGTCGTGGGCCGGCCGGTCGCCATGCCCATCCTGATACGGCGTAATGTGTGCGATTCCCCCGCCCTGCCCTGCCCCGCTCCACCGAGGCCCCCGCCGCCCGTCTCGTTTGCCAAATGGATCCAATTGTCCGTAAGCATTTTGGTCACTTCGTGTTGGCGCGCTGCTTTGCGCGTTGCTCTGTGCCGGACTATCTGCGCATTCAAATCGGCGCGCCCCTCGCTCCGCGTTAGAGCGTTCATTGCGATTCATCTCGGTTTCAACTGGGCGCGGCGTGGCACGCTGCGGTGGCATTCCAGCCGGAGTGTCGCGACGTCGCGGACTGTGCTTGACGTGTCTTCTTGTGTGTTGCAGGCGTCGAGGGCTCGCTGGTGACGATGCTGGGGCTGGAGCCCGCCGCGCTGCAGGCCATCCTGGACCAGACCGGCCCCGGCGTCAGCTCCATCCGCATCGCCGTCCCCGAGGAGCCGCCGCCGCACTGCCGCGTGCTGGACGCCGAGGCGGGCTTCGTGTGCAAGAAGTGCCGCCTGGCCTTCTCGGCCGAGGTGGCGCTCATCGGCCACCAGCGCGGCTGCTGCCCCGGCCAGGTGGGCTGGGCCGTGCGCATGATCGCGGCCCGCTACGAGTGCAGGCTGTGCGTCGGCGCGTGCTTCGACAGGGCCAGCGACGCGCGCCGCCACTGCGAGTCCGACGGCCACCGCGGTCGCCTGCCCGGCATGCACCCGCCCCCGCCGCCCGACTCGCCCTCCGACGCGCTCTCGCACGAGATGGAGGACGTCGTGAACCAGATCGCCGCCCTGGCAGCCAAGGCCGCCCAAGAGGGCACCACGTTGGGCACCCCGTTAGGCAGCGCCACCCCCGACTCCAACGCCAACATCTTCTGCCAGGACGGCAGCAGGAAGGGCACCGTGCCCGCACCCTGCCCGCCCACCTTCGCCATGCCCACACTGTGAGGCGCATCCTACCCTTTCCCCCTCCCGGAACGGACGCCAACCACCACGAAGGCTTAGCGCGTTCCTCGCAAACGGAGCACGCATGAAACTAATCCTCGCTTACACGATGAAATATCGAGACTAGGGTACATACAATTTGAAACAAATATGACGTCGTTGTCCCCGAGCATGTTGTTCGTAGATATACATATATTTAAAATTAATTTTGTTTTCTGATATGGTTCGGGTGTACGTGTACAAAATTTATGTTATTGCCTTGTGCAATACTAGATATGTAAGTCTCAAAACAATGCAGCTATTCGTCCGCGACCTTGATGCTGTGCCCAAGATAAAATAAAGTTACAAAACTCGCTCTCGATGTTTTTATCGAACCAATTGTCGAGTTGTTCACGTCGATGATATGAAAAGAAAAAGTATGTGCGATAAAATTAAGGCAAAGTACGTAAATTTATGATTAGCAATCAATGCTGCTTTGATTGGTTTTGTTGTTAGATGTACTTGTACATATGACGTCTGAGATCTTAGTGATAAATCACAACAGTAGAATTGTCATTAGGGCGTATGAAAAAAACTGAAACTCGCTACAAAGAAAATATTTGTTACTGAGTAACAAAGCTATATAGTTTTTGACTTGATTTGTTTAAATCCATATTATTTAACAAAACGTTTATGTTCTATGGCTGCAAAACAGTTTCTTGATACTAGTTAGTTAAGGATTATAAAGTAGCAAAGTACATGTAAAAAGTGCAATATAGAACAAAATGAAATGTTTTCTGATATAGATGTGTGGTTTACTATCATTACCCGAACATAGTGCTTTCTTATATGTTGAAGAAAAATGTTGTGTTTGTATTTCGTTAGTGTTTGGTGTCAGTATTCCTTGTGCCATACTGCGGTAGGGGCAAATGTGAAAACTAGTGATTAGAATATGTATCAAATGTTGATGTTCCTGAAAGCGTGATTTCGTTTGCGAGGTAACCTTATCTTCGAAGCATTTACTTTTGAAGTGGCATTTACCTATTGACTATGTGAAAGAAGTTACACCGAGGCCAAACATAAAAAGACAAGCTAATGGCTTTAGTTAAAAACAATCGTCCTGACGATTAAGTTAATGTTCCCAAAAGGAAGTCGCACATATGACGCAAGTTCCTAAAAATTCACACATTAAGCGTCCCCGTGCTCCTCTTTTCCAGGGAAGTGATAGTGGCATTTGCCCGAAGATGTATATATCATAATTATTGAAATAATGGTTATATTGGATGTAAGGAGATTGTGGTGATCCATTGGTAAGATGCTAACACTGACATTAAGTGTCAAATTGATATTGAAATCTCACACCTCGCTATTGTATTCTAAGCTCTTTATGAAATAATTTTAAGTGACTATGTCACAAATTACTAATTATATATTTAAGAGAAAGAAAGAATATAATGAGAGCCATGCTTGATTACGTTTGTTTTTTTCTGTGACGTTGTACCGCAATGTAGATCAACATTGTTTTGTTTGGAATGATGATTCCATTTCCATCTTTGGTTCCGAGTAGCAAGTGCTATAGGGTCCAAATTTGTTAAAGAAAGGTGCGATCTCCATGCGGTGTCTACCAACGACGAGAAACATATTTTTTAAGTTTTGTGTCTTTGTTTTGGCACAAAACATTGCGTGGTTTGTTGACGCAAATTAAAAGTACCACAAATTCATCCGCATTGTCTTTCTCTCGTTGGTACATTAAAGAGGCACCTTTCACCCGCTTTGAATCGTGTTGGCTTTCAAAGCGGCTGCATGGTGCCCCTGGTCCCTACTCGGTGCTGGGAACGGGGTAGGGGCTTTGGAAAACAAATGCATTATTTGTTTCCCAAAAAATATGAAACCGAGCTGTAAGAGTAAGGCTGTGGACTTAAAATGAGATTTCATCAAATAAAATCATGAATATAAGAGCTCTATAACAACACGGAAACACCGATTGACACAGCCACTCGATGAAGTTCGGGTTCCTTCCCAGCAACCCAAGGTTCCTATCTTTAGCTAACAGTTCTAAGGTTCCTCATTATCATGTGCTTTTTCTATTATAATTAATATAAATTATTAATAAATGGCAAACTATTGATTGTCTTAAAGCAAGTGACGCATTATGTGTTCCGTGAAATTAGTATCTTTAAACTTGAAGGTGTATCTGTGTGAATGAACGAATGTAAGGGTGCGCGTGTGTGATAAAGACAAGGGTGGGACGATGGAAAACAGCTATGTCTAAAACTAGAATACCGCAAACTATGCAGACTTACTTCCTTTTACCAGCTTTACAGAAAACGTCTGTACTTTCGATGCTCCGGCTCAAGTTATCTTGCGTAGACTGTGATACATCACAGGTGCATAGCGCTTCATTGTCGAACCCATCCTTGTCCGTAGGGATCATTTACCAGGTAAACGTTCTCACAAGTAGAACGTTGCTGTTCCTCACAGACTTTTGTCGTTCTGATTTCGTTTTTTTTTCTGACATAATCGGTAAGTCCGAATGGAGGTTATTTTCTCCGGTGATAAGTAATCGCTGTATTTTGCTTGTGTTTATTTAATGTATTATGTACGCTGTTTGTGTCTCTGTGTTATTTGTTTTTTGTTGATTTTGCATTGTTTTGAGATTTCATTTATTGCATCAATTGGTGCCAATCGGTACTAGTCCTTCCTCGTTCTGAATATTCAGACAAAATCAGATAGTTCCTATGAATTTGTCCTACCAGGTATCGCTAATTGAGAAAGGTTTATGTTGGGTAAGGCTTGCATTACAGTCCCACCCAGAGTTCATTTACATTCAGCAAAATGACGTGATTATTTAGAAGTTTTGTTTATCCAGGCGAGGTATAAATAATATGTGACTCATGAAGAGACCATGTAACCTCTTATGGCAAATGCCCGTGAACAAAATGGCAATAGATTCTTGCACGACTAGGCAAAACTGTTGAGTTAGCGTACAATTAAAACGAAACCTCTCCCATTTAATAATTATTTGTAGCATGTGTACGGACTTGGATATTAATAATATTATTATTACATGAATTGATATTGTTTCTTTTGTTTAAGTACAATTTTATTGTTAATTTCGATGTACGTTAACAGATTTGAAGTGATCAATGCTGCTGATTAAGGTTCCTAGTAGTTTTCATATCTTTGACAAGCAGTTTTCTATTTTTTTTTCTTTTCTAGATGGTTTAATGTTTAGCATGTTGGTTCAATGTAACACAAATACCTGTCAAAATTATAAGAGTACCTCAATCGGGGAATGCCTTGTCTGCGACAAGACATTGAATATTACACCTAATGCACATCAAAAAATTAGGATTTCAACCTTTGTTTTTTGAAAAACAAAACTTGTTGCATTGTCTTAATAACCTCCGGCTGTCAAATAATGTCACGCAAAAGTCATATCGTTTACGTACCCCAATTTGTTTTTGTGTTTGTAAAATCGTATATTGCTTTTTCCTCTACTGTTTCTAAAGAGATACAAATTTCTGCATTCTTATATGACTCCGCTATAATTGTTAGAAGGGTACATGTAAGCATTTTCTTGCGTATTTTTTGTGTTATTGTTTTGTCGTAATGTTTTTTACTGAAATAGTGCAATGGCAAGTTACTTGTCATTTATATTTTTTGTATTGGTGATACACATTTTGTGACACAAAGTGGTGCAAAGTTCCTAAAACGACAACCTCGCCTCTAGACAGCGTGGGCTGTAGATTCAGCCCATTGCTTCAGGGTTTTAGATTATTAAAATTATTGTTTCACTGGCATAAAATGTTCAAACAAGGCATCCTCCTCATTCGGATGTCAAAAATATATGATCAAGTGGCTACATCTCTCGGGGTTCTACAAGACATAGTTCTTCAGATTTCAGATCCACTGATCTTAAGGTTCAAAGTTCCTCAGCGCAATTATATTTATATTTGTGCGAAATTTCTCTATATATATACCTGTAGTTTACCCTTGTTGCCGATTGTTGTTTTAACTCTCCGTCTTCCATTTGAGGTATGATAGATGTTCCTCTTTTCTGTATTGGCATGTCTCGAGAAAATCCCTAATTCTGAAGCCGATAGGGAAGGGCACACTACGTCAGTTACGCCGGTGACCACTCGCGTATATGGAGTATAACGTGGCGGGGTCCCGGCACTGGCGGACAGTTAAAAACGGCTGCAATTGCGGCAGCATTTAATTTGCGCAATTGTCAGCTATTCTTGAGACACTTTTATCCATTTTCTTTTAATTCTTTTCCGAGCCGGTAATACGTTCCTTAGAGTCAAATGATTGTTAGGGAAATGTGTACTGATACTTATTTGGTCTCTCCTAGGTGTAGCGCTTTTGTACCATAACTGCACCCAAGTGCACCACCTCTTCCGTCACTGAGGAGTCTGCCCCTGCATCTCACAGAGCCACTTCATGTAAACGGCAGATCCAAGCCGTGTGTGAGATATTGAGCAGAAATTTGTAACTCTTTGTCATTTTAATGTCTAATCGGCCATAATCTATAGAAGATTTCACTCGGAGGCATTAAACCTGGCCGATGTAGTCGAAATCACGTAGTTGAGCTTTTTTCAGGTAATCAGAGCAAAGAGATGTATTCTAAACGTAGCATACCCAACGTTTCAAAATGTCGACCGTTTACATCTGAACCGAGTGAAAACGAGCGAATGGGCTATGCACATTTTATTTCGTTTATTCTACCCCCTTGATATACAGATTTCGTATGGTATTTGACTGCCGACAACCGGTACTGACTGTTTCCCTGAACGGGTTTTCTACCAACTGTATCCGATATGGCAATGTTAAACGATTTGTTTGTGACGAGACTGCCGTTTTCATTACTGTTTTGTTTTTTCGCCCAGTTTTGTAACGTGGTGTTACTTGCGAACCTTACTGCGATATTAATTGACTATGTTCCATTGTTTGAATCACATTTTATGGCGATTATTTTCCACACCGAATTGTATCAGTTTGGATTTAACATTGTATAAATGGTAATAAACTGCTAGTTTATCAGGAATGTACTTTTGTATTCACTTGTATTCCATACCCGATCCCTGACACTGACACGTGGATAAGCCACGAGGCTGAAGCAAGAGCCCGCAATCCCAGCCCAAAAGTGGTGACTACAGCCACTGCCAGTTCATTCATTGCCGTCTTCATTCACTGCGCGACCAGCGCGCGCCGCGTCCCGACGCCGAGTGCAGTGAGCAGGCTCGACCCGAGACCGCCCCGCCACGCTACGCCAGGCTACGCCAGGCTACGGGCCGCCGAAAGGGGACAGCTGGCGACATCTATCCGCCGCCCTGCGCACTACGGGCCCGACCGCCGCGGCTAGCCGTTCGCCCTGCGGCACAGCTCGCGGCGGAGAAAGCCGCCTTTCGCAAATTTTTGGGTGGCCCCGAGACACTGACTTGAGCAAAACAGAAATGCAGGCAATGTCAAAAATAACCACGAAAACACATTTCTTTCGCCTTTTTATTCTTTATTTCTGAGCAAAGACACGGCCGAAGCCGCTAACATCTCTCAGTATGGGCTGCTTTACATGCGGCCCAGGCAAGGGGTTCACGGTGGCGTGCGTGAGTGTGTGTGCGAAAGGGAATTATTGTCCGGATGGCGCTTACATTACGCTTCTTTAGGCGCCACGCTTTCTTTCTTTTCTTCCCCGTTTCATCTCCCCATTCCCTCCGTCCGGGCGCGGCGCCGCGCGGGGCCGCAGTAGGGCCGCAGTAGGCCCCGAGAAGTGTCGTGGTGAATAATATAGGATCGATTGGCAGAAGGGGGAGCAGGATGTGGGGCCGATCCAAAGGTGCGGCCCAATCCTTTCATAGGACGAAATCGTAGGTTCGGAACGGAATTTCGCTCGACTCATTACAATCTGCGCAAGCGCGTCGGACACATGCGGCGCGCGTTCCCGAACGAGTTTCTGCCGAGCTCACGCAGCTCACGCGACCGAGGGTGACCAGATCAGGCCAGCGCCGCAGCGAGGCTCGCAGCGAGGCGAGACCGGCGCATATTACTTCGCACCGGGGGACACTACCAGAATAACAAAACTGATATCAAATAAACATGAAATCACACTGCAATAAGCTATAACAATAATAAGACCAACAACAACAACAACAGAGTGTATCGGCGCGCGCAAGCGAGACGCGTCCGAAAACACAGCCGAGCTGGTACGCCATATGGACCTCGCAGTGCACCGCCGCGAGCCCTTTTCGGGCGCAGCCAGGCACAGCCAGGCGCAGCCCCGGCCGGCCCGCCAATGGGCCCGCCAATGGGCTTGGCACACGCGATTGGCGGGAAATATGGTCGAAGACGAATAAATAAGGCAAATTGAACCGAGGCATTAGCCGCACTGCAATTAGATCCGCAGCGGGACAACTAGAAACAGGTTACACGCGAGAGTTCAAACACCGACAATGCTGCTTGTTGTTGTTTTGTTGTTGTTTTGGGGGAAGTGACCCGCGAGGTCCGGCCGGTCCGCCAATTATTGCTGGGCCGCGGTAATTGACAGCGGTTAATTGGTCGAGGATAAACAAGGCTGTCGTGACTCGGCAATTAAAACGCGATGCTTTATTGTTTCCTCCGGGGTGTGAAAGGGCAAGGGCTTTACGGACAGCCCCTCCTGCAGCCAGCCTCAACAGAGCGGCGGCGGCGCTAAGTGTCTTTCTCTTTCTCCCGCTGTCTCTCCAGGGATTTCCGTTCCGTCACATCGGGGATCGCGAGTTGAAAATCCCCCTCTCTCTTTGCCTCTCCCTCTCTCCCCAACCCTTCCCCACTACTTGCAAAACTCGTCCCCGCGACTCATCCAGGCCCGCGGACATTACGCCGCCTGGAATACTTTCGAGAAAATGGGCTGGGGCTGCGCAGGGCTGTGCAGGGCTGTGCAGGGCTGCGAGGTGGGCGACACTTCTCCTCCATCAGGGCGGCCCAGCCCCTCAGGGATGTTGCCTGAGACTAGTGCGGGCCGCGGCCGCGAGGGGCGCCAGTGCGCGTCTCGTCCATCTCATATTCAGTTGACAGCGGCAATGATGTACTGCTTCGAGGAGCCAAGCGGCCCAAGCAGCGCCAAGTCCAATGAATAAAATATACTTCGCACACGGCGATACATCGAAAAATTGACCTGGCAAGGCAACGGCACGCCGGGGCCTCGGCGGAGGCCTCGGCGGAGGCCTCGGCACGGCAGCGCCGCCTGGCGGCCCGATCTAAAAGGTGGCAGCGAAAGACAAGGAGAGTGGCTGTCTGGCTGGCTGGCTGGCGCTTGAAGCGTGGGGGGAGGCGCCAACCTCATTCACTTTCTCCATCTCCATATCGTACCTTGGATTCTCCACCGTCTCCCCTCCCTGCCCCTCCGATCAAACATCAAACCTTCCGAAATGAGCCCATGCCATCCTCTCCATACAAAGTTCGGCGCCGCAGTCTCCCCCACCCCTTTCTTCTCTCCCGCGCGTCCCCCGACCTCTCCTTTCCGTCCCTCCCACCCTGTCAGTGACATCAATCGGTCTCCGCGGCGCCTCCACCTGTCTTGCTCTTTATAGGCTTTCTTCCATCTCTCTCACTCGCCATACGAACCTTCCGCCCCTTATTTTTTTTCTTTATCTATCTCCTTCACACACACACATACTCATGCACACACTCTCCCTTTCTTTCTTTCTTTCTCGGATTCTTCTTCCTTCCCGCTCCTCTTTCGTTTTGCATACAACATTGAATTTTCCTAATGATGCCTTTCAGACTGCCAAAGCCAGACCCCCTCCCCCTCGCCTCCCTTTTTCCTCGGGCAGGGCTAAGGGATGAGTCGGGGGAAGGGCAGAAGGGTTTGGCTGGTCGGCGGAGACTCGCAAAGGGGAAGGAGAGAGAGACGTAAGAAATAGCGATAGAAGTAAAAAGACGAGCTTAAGGGGATACAGATCTTTCTGTCGGCTGCGAGCACTCACACGAGTACATGCATGGCGAGGGAGGGGAGGGCAATGACTCGGAAGGGCCTCGGCCGCGCTCGGCTAGCCAGCCTCGGCGCCACCTGTCCCGCCAAAATATGTCCGGCGCTCTAATGGCGCTGCTTGCTTCGAGACTCCGCCCCCGCCTGCCGCGTCGATTAAACGGCCACCCCTTTCGCGCCGAGCCGCCCCCGCGCCGCCCCCGCGCCACCCCCACCCCGGCGCGCCACCCTCGCGACGCCCCGCCCCGCCGCCAATTAGCGCTGTCCACTGCGGCAATTAAAGGCCGGCGGCACGCTGGTCGCCATCGTGCGGCCGTGTCGCCATGGCGCCGCGCAGGCACGGCGCGGAAGGGCGCGCAAACACTCGCCGGCCGCGCTGCCCGGCCCCGCGAGGGTAGGCAAACAGCGTTAGACAAATGCGCGTCCGTGCTCGTCCGTTCGGGAAGCAGCGCGCCGGGACCAGCAAGGGCCTACCGAGGGCCCACCGCCACCGCGCGTGGCCCCGGCCCTCGGCGGCCCTTGGCGTGAAGGGGTGACAGCGGGGCTCGCGGCAAGGCTCGCAGCAGGGCTCGCAGCAGGGCTCGCAGCAGGGCTCGCAGCAGGGCTCGCAGCAGGGCCGGGGGCGTAGTGCGTGCATTTTACCCCGAGCACGTTTTTAATTTCAGAGCGCTCCCTCTCTCTCGGTCTCGGACTGCCCTTCCACAGGGGGCCTCCAGCTCGCTCTAGCTCGCTCCAGGCGGCACCTGACCCGGCGGATTTCCTCATGGCTCCTCGGCTAGCCCGTTTCTGGGAATCCCGGCGTCACCTGACGCGGAGGCTGGCGCACAAAGCGGGCAAGGCAAAGCAAGCAGAGCGTGCAGAGCGCGGCGAGGCTTTGATGACTCGCGATCGACTGAGAAAGGCCGCGCGGGGGGCACGGTGGCAGCGCCGTGGCAGCGCCCGCCAACCCTAGCCGCCCAGCGGGACCACCCCGGGCCACCCCGGCCGCATAAAGGAACGAATAAGATATTGTCGACCAACACAACGCGATATGAATAAGGATTTGAATTCGCGCAAACTGCCGCCATATATCACGGGGGAGAAATCACAATTTCTCGTGTGTGAACATTCATAAATCTCCCAAGAAAAAATGAGGGATTTGGCTCCCGAATTTGCGTCGCGCCGTGGCTGGCCGTGCCTGGCCGCGCCTGGCCGTGCCTCCCCTCGGCCGGCACGGCAATCACCCCGCATCCATCCCAGCCATGGGAGTCCTCACTTGCGCCGCGCTCTCGGAGCGCTCTCGCCAGGACGCGACATCCACTGACCCCTGAATCAATTCCCGGCGCCATTCCCCCGCTCCGCCCCCGCACCGCCGCCGCGCCCCTCAAACTCGTTGACGGCTGTCGTGCATTACTTTATTTATGTATCAGGCGGCCTTTGCCAAGAAAACATTCCGGGCGTCGTGTCTCCTCGCGGGATCAACCCTTCTTGTCGCCCGGAGAAGGTGCGGCCGCCGTTTCCTGAACTCGCTGCATGGCTTCCATCTAATCGGCACCTCCCCCCCCCCCTTTTCCTGACCCGTCCCCTTCTGATGGATGTCCCTGCCCCAAATAAGGCCCCCCACCCCAGCCGCCCCGCCCCGGCGCCCCGGGGCGTCGCATCGCGTTGGAAACGTCTCGCGGTTTCCCTCAAATTTGCCCATATCTCATCCCCATCAAATTCCGCCCTTGGCAGGCGCCGTGGCCGCCGTCGCGCGTTACTGGATTTGCAGATGCGACGTTCTTGTGATGGGACGAGGGCGGGCGTGCATGGCGCCCTGCGGCCCTGCGGCCCTGTGATGGCTGGGCGGCTCAAGTGATGGGATTTGCGGGGACGCGGGGCCGCGGGGGGCGCGTGGAGGATCTGTCAGGCCGGGCCGGGGCTGAGCCGCATGCACGCCACCACGCGGGATGCAAGAGCAGCAGCCACCGGCATTACCGCATGGACGGAGCCAGACGCGCAGACCAAACTTGCAAGAAATGAGTCTGCGCGGCCAGGCAGGCAGGCAGGCAGGCGGGCAGGCAGGGCTGGCAGCCAGAGGGCCGGAGGAAGGGTGGAGTGCC